CTACCCAATAGAGTGTTGCGCAGTGCAGCTTTCAATACAGTAGCTCCCTGCATGTGAGCACTTGAAATGGCCTGTCTGACTGAGGAGGGGAATCATCATGGTTGTCCAGCCATCGCTTGACAATCTTTGTGCTGACCTTTTGCTTATCCAAGCATGATGTCCTTCCCCTGAGAAGTGGCCACTTCTGATTGGAAGGCACAGCTCTCCGTGTCAGGAAAGGATGAATCCCGCTTTATCTTGTAAAGTTCTTTCAGGAAATTCAGAGAGTCAGTATTTCAAGAAGTTAGGGCAACATAAAACTTTTTTGTTTCTTTAGACATTCCGAATCACAAGGCAGGGGAAACTTGTGACCAGCCTTTTTGGGTAATGGACAAGAGATGATGTTGTCGTGGAAGTGTTATAGAAGCCTGCCCTTAGGATCAATCGTCAGCCTCCTCGCTGAGAGGCCACCACACTAAAGACGGTATACTCTGACTTGAGAATTATATGCTGTCACCGTGAAATCCAGCTTTTCTGAACTACATGGACAACAACAGTTCTTTAGACTTTTCCCTTTGAAGAGCCAATTACTGAACCCCGAGGATGAGGTATCAAATAGGAAGAACCACTACATACACAAGAAATTTTCCTGTTGAATTACTCCTCCCTCTGTTTGCCTATCAGTTCACCAGTCCATCTTTCCAACCCTCCCACCTACCTATTTTCCCAATCTATTTATTTACTTAAAAAGATTAATATTTTTTGTTTATCCCAATACTGAAGGCCTAATGGACAGATAAGAAGTAAACTACATGATACATTTTTGAAAATATGCTTTCAATGAAGGAATTTTACTTTTAATTTTCAAAGAGAAGAGTGGGGAGGGGTTAGCAGGGAGAAAAATGCAACAATGAGTGAATGGAAATCCAAAATCTCTGTTAATGTTCATTAAAATTAATAAAATTAAAAAATATGCTTTCAGATGAGCCCCCCAAAAGAGGGAAAATAATGTAAATAAGATACATTCATTAGCAATACTTAATACTTGTACATAATTAATATGCACACTATACATTTTTTACCAACCATGCAACCATTTCAGGAGTTAGTTTCCTTTGGTGCTAGGCGTGTTAGGTATATGTGGAGGTGTTGTGTGTGAAAAACACAGTATTTCAGAAGGCTAAAAAAACCCTCTATATGCTATGCTGTATGTTTACAACTCTGTGATATTCTGGAAAAGGCAAAACTATACAGGACAGTATAGAGATTGGTAACGGGTAAGGACTAAGTGGACAACAGGATATTTTAGGGAAGTAAAACAATGTGGCATGGTGCTATAATGGTTGACACAGGGTATTATTATGCACTTGTTAAAATGCAGAGGACCCTAGCACTCAGTGGGAACCCTATTGTGAACTAAGGACTTAATAACAGGACAATCTGTGGATGGGTGTAAAGGAGATCTATGGGGGTAAAAAGGAGCGAGCAAAATGCTTCCAAACCTCAAGGTAAAAGATGCCAAAAGGTAATTGATGATTGCTTGCCAGATGAATGACTCAGCCAACAAGTGTCGTGTTTAGAGGAGAGGTAGGAAGTTTGAGGTAGACTAATCCAAGGTGAGGGTTTAAGGAGACCACAGCCAGATTGCACAATGGACTGGCTAACAGACAAATATCGTAAAGTAAGTGTCGACCCTTTCCTTGATCCTAATTCAGGTTCAATCATGATAGGACTTAAGCGAATGGCATTAAACTCTTAGGGCTTCATATCTGCACTTAAAAAAGTTTTTTAAAAAAATTAATTTAGTTTGTTTATTTTTCATTTCAATGAACATCTACAGAGATTTTGGAATTCCATTCATTCATTGTTGCACCCTTCTCCCCGCACAAACCCCCCCCCCCCCCCCGTTTGCTCCTCTCCTTGAAAAGCAAAAGAAAAACTCCCTCATTGGTACACAATCCCCCCGCACCTCCCCCAATCCCACCCCCAACCCCAAATATATTCCACTCTGCAACCCTCACTGCGTACTCCTGTGATAAAAATAATGCCCTAAAATATAATACTTTTAGACTATTCTCTCCCCCATAGACTTCACTGCCGTAAACATATTTCATCCAGTTTAGAGGCACTGGGAAAACAAGGTTTCTGATGCTGGAAAAAAAATTTTTTTAAGTAATTTTCATGAAAGTTTACAGAGACTTAGGGTTTCCAGTCATTCATTGTTGCACTTTTCTCCCTGCTTACCCCCTACCCCAATTCACTCTTCTCCTTGAAAAGTAAAAGAAAAACTTTCATTGTTGTGCAATCCCTTCACCATATCTTCACTTTTTATAAAGAGCTTTTAACAACTCACATCTACTCAAATACTGATTTTTAATGACAACACCAAGTATTGGGGACGCTACAGAAAACCAGGAATGCTTATGAGTTTGGGTTATCCTCTGATCACTTAGGACTCATGGCAGCCTCACATCTCTGGGAGCAGAACTGTGCTCCGGGCATGAGCTTTTCAGATACGGCTTGCCAGGCTTTTCTTCTGAAGTATCTCTGGGTGAACTCAAATGGATGTTTGACAACATTTACCAATTGAATGCCTTCTGGGACCTAGCCAAGTGTCCCTAGTGGCTCAGTGGTTAAGAGTGCGTTCTTTCCCTGGTGGTGCAGTGAGTAGAAATCATCCTCAACAGTGAAGTGAGAACAATGCAGATGCAGAGCCCAGAAAACTCAGTGAGTGAGTTGTGTGGTATCACTCTGAGCCAAAACTGATGGGACAGGAACACTTCCGTCCCCAAACGGCATGAATAAGAATGTCTCTGGCAGGTTAATATCAACCCCAAACTTGTCCAACAGAAGTAGAATGGGTGGGCACTGAAATGCACTCATGCAGTGGGCTCCTCCACAATCATCCAGCGGAACGTACTGTCAGCATGTGTGCCATTGAGGATGAACCATGCAGAAGGAAGGGTGAGCCCAGGAAGACAGGCACGAAATAAATCCATTACCATGAGATGAAAAACCTGGCCGAGGTAATCAACGATGCTAGAAGAAATCACGATGGGAGTATTCATGCAATGAATAGCTGTCAAAGGAAAAGCTCATTGTCATCCAGTCAGAACTGAGACAAAGGTGGCACTTTAGGTTTAGGGTTTTGAGAAAGCATTGTTCCTTAGTTGTGTGAGTGGAACAATTCCTCAGTCTATTAGACTGTTCAAGGTGCCAACCCAATTGTGACACATGGAGACCCTCGATCGAGTCTGCAAGGCCATAAATCTCTAAGAAGAGGATATATCCTGGCAACCTTGTACAGTCATAAAACCCTTGTAAGAATCCCATCCAAGTAACTCAATACCTGCTCTTCGTTAGCTGGCTAGCAGGACAGCCTGCCATCAGGTGATCTGTAAGCTTTTTGGAGCCTGAACAAAACCAAAACACAGTCACTCTAGATGGGAGCTGGCCTGGCAGGGACTTTCAGTAACTAAAACACGCAGGGGACCAGGCCGTGGTGAGAAAGCCCCTCGCTGCTGATGGGGAAGTGGGTGAGCCTGGAAAGCCTGGGGCAGAGTCCCGCCCTGCCTGCAGCTGCATCTTCTGGGTCCCCCACCTTTCTCAGAAGACAGTAAACACCATCTGCCCCACTGGTCGCACACTCCCCGGGACTGCAATGTCCTCTGCCCACCTGACAGCCACCCTGAGCATCAAGTGCCCTCGCCCCAGCCGTCCGAGAGCCTCAGCTGTCTGAAGAACCTGAGCCCTCAGCTAGCCGGGCTCCCCACTCCAAACTGGTCTCAGCATCTGAGGGCAAGTACAGTGACAGCAGGTAGAGGGCCTAGGGACCCGTTCCAGTTTGAGGGGGTGGGATTGACCCTATCCCAGTGCTACTTCTTTACCTCTTTGACAATCACAGGCCTTTAGACACCATAACATGACCTTTATTTGTCTCTTTCTACCAAAAGCCAGACACTTTTCTTCCCAGGGTGAACTTTCCAGAGCTCGCCTCCCTGTCTCCAGCAGCCTACCTCCCATCCAGTTCATCTCAACAGCCCTTGCTTCATTGGGCCCATTTCACCCCCACCCCTCCAAACTTTCTCCAGGTCCTAATTCCCAGAGCCTCCAGCTAGAGAAGAGAGACTGGGGAATGTGTATGAATGAGTCACAAAGGTTTCCTGATTGCTTGATTCAAACCAGGGTTTTCTCCATGACAGACACTTGCTCAGTGTTTAAAGAGTGAATAGGAACTTTGGAGAATGAATGTTTCGGCTGTGTATTCGCATGATGAAAAGCATTCCCTGTCACACGTTGTTCAGGAAGACACTGACCGGAACCTTCCTGCCCTCAAATCCGCCAAAATGCCAGAGAGAAGTACATCAATAAAAGTCTTAAAATCAGAACACAACCTTGAATGAAGCTTTCTCAAGAGAATAAAAACCCACAAAAAACAACAACAACAAGTCCATAAATACCACAACCATCCAGACAGTACTTGATTTCAATTCAGAGAGACTTAGAGAAATCAGCGCATGAAGTGTTCTGTGTCAGAGAGCCAAACACACAAAACCAGCCGCGGGAGAACCGAAGCTGCCGGAGCCCAGGGAATTTCAAAGAAATCCATCTACACATGCACGTTCTCTGGGACTTTTCCTGTTCTTGGAAAGTCCTGGGTTGGTTCTGGGAAGCAGCTCTCAGAGGTTTAGACTCTCTGGGCTGTGATTCTTATATTCACTGGTCAATGATTCTTGCAAGGAGTTAGAAGCAGAGGCTAATGCTAAAATGGTTTCCTCCCCCAAATGGCACTCCAGCCTTACAATTCTTTGCTCATCTGCCTCCTCCTCTGCTTGCCCCTCACTCACATTTCTATCATAACCCAGTATGTCAAAGTCGACAAGTAATGCCTGGCACTGAACAAGCCCGGAGAGGGACTCAGTTGTAAGTGAAGTCGTACTCTGTGTCACTGGTTCCATCTGTAACAAAGTGGGCACATCGGGCACCCCCAGAGGAGACTGTAACTTGGAGCGAGGACTTACCTGTCTGCCGAGAGCGCCGTGAGCGTGAACACAGACACCCCGACCGAGGTGAGCTGTATGAAGGGGATCAGCTTGCAGCCAACCCTGCCAAACAGCCACCTGTCGGCCAGGTACCTGCTGGCGTCCACGGGCACGCACGTTACCAGGAGCATCAGGTCGCCCAGGGCCAGGCTGGAGATGAACAGGTTTGGCACACTGCGCATGGACTTGACAGTGCAGAAGATCTTGATCAGGGTGATGTTGCCGACGAGGCCGATGAGGATGATCACGCCGTAGAGCACAGGGATGACATAGAGGATGCCCGGGTGGAGCCAGCCGTCGGGCGCGCGGAGGTCCACGCTGTGATTGGAGACGTTGCAGTGCACTGGCTGCTCCACTGCCAAGTTCAGGGGGTAGCAGTCATTGAGAGCCATCTCCCCTCGGGCTATCTGGGGGTGCCCTTGATTTGGAGATGCCGACAAGATCTGTTCGGGGCTCTTTATCTTCTACAAAAAAGGCCCCCAGTACCTACATCTTCAGAGCCCCAAAGCTATCTGACATGATTTTGAGGTTGAAGCTGCAGTGGCTTTCATATGACCAAGGCTATGCATCTCTCAGTTCAGCAAGTTGAACTACCAACAAAAAATGAGCCCCAGAAACAGGGCTGCGCATTAAACCCATCTGGTGTCAGCCCTCCCTACCTCCATCGCAGTCCACCCCTCTCGGGCTACGGTCCGCTGAGAACTTTAGGCTTGCCGTTTCCCCACAGCATTTCCTGGCTTCCCTGGCGTTTAGAACCTGAAGTTTAAAGTGGGTAGAAAAAAAACTGCACTGAGAAAGCCTCCAATCCCGTAGGCAGGATGCGCTCACGTCACTGGCATCACCAGCAAACAGCAGCTTTGCTGAGCAGAGGCGCTGTGGAGGAGAAAGGCCACTTATAGACAGAGAATGCCAGCCCCCTGCTGGCCACTTCAATCACTGCCCAGTCGCCCACGCTCCCCAGAAGGGAGACCGGAGGGGCCCTGGGCTTTGCTCACTGCAATAAGCAGCGTCTGTGGACAGCATTTAATCAGGGCTGCTAGCACTCAGCAAAGACCCTGGAAGTCTGTCTGATCTGATCCCCAAGTGTCCACATAGGGCTCCCAGCCCCATCTTCTCATTCTGGCTAATACAGTAGCAGGCACTGTTCAGGCGGCAATGATACACAGGCTGCTGGTGAATGAAATGGGTGCAGAGACATAGGTGTCTGTGTGTGATGTCTCCTGTGAACCCAGCATCTTACACCTTCAGCATCGGACAGGTGGAAAACCCGGAGCCGAACACACTCACGTTGCTGCTCTGGGATCGGCCTTAAGTCCTCCCTCTGGGGGCAAGTGAATGAACAGAATTGGAGGCCAGCTGATTCCCAGCTGTCAGAGATCAGTGGTCTTCTCCAGAAAACTGGACCTTTGCTCATTTCATCTAAGAATCCCGCTGATTGACATTCTGGCACTACTGCTTACAATTTTATAAGGAATGTTTTGCCACATATGAGAAAGTCATCTTCAACCCAGACTGGGAGGTAGAGATTTGTGTAAGAGTGACGGGATAGCGAGGCATGGGAGCTGGAGAGAAGACTTGGTGCTCCAGGAAAGGCTTCTTTGAGGAGGAGAGACTAGAATGGGTTTTAGATCCATAGCCCATAGATTGTTGTGCACCACTGAGTCAGAGCCAACCCATATTTGACTCGCCAGTGGGCTTTCAGAATCAGGAAGTTATATGGAAGGAGATTGCCCATCTTTCACCCATGGAGCAGCTGGTGGATTTGAACCATGTACTTTTCGGTTGACAGTGCAATTCCTAACAGTAAGCCTCCAGATGTTCCACAGTATAGCCTCTTAAATACATTCTGAGCTGGGTCTTAAGACTCTCAAAGCTTTAGCCCAAGAAGCCAATTAACAGGAACATATGCACCATAGTGCATAACGTGTCAGTCGGAAAGGTTGGCTGTTCAAAGCCACCAGCTTCTCCACAGGAGAAAGATGGGCAGTTTCCTCTGTAAAGGTTTCCAGCCCAAGAAACCCAGTGGTGGGTCACTGTGAGTCAGAATGAACTCGATGGAAGGGCTTTGGTTTGGGGCGTGTATACAGAATACACATGCCTGCCTTATCTCCACCAAGCTAGCCTCAGAGTTTGCTGTCATGGAAATGTGGAGTGGCAGGTTACAATGTGGAAACCCACCAGAAGCCTGGGGCTGTCAGCTCCTTGCTAGCAGCCTCAGCGTCCTATATGGGCTCAGGGCTGAAGTCCTGGCTCTTTCTAAGACTAATGAGACGTTGATCAAGTTCTTTTGTACCAAAGTAAATGATCTGTGTTAGGGCTTTGCTTGATGCATGGCATATAGTAAGTTCTCAATTAAAAAAAATTAGCTGCTATAACAATAACTACTATTATTTTTAGGATTGAGGGGGAAAGGCTGACTTTGGAAAAGGCAGGGGTGTCAAAAAAGTGATTAACTTCCAATCACCAGGCAAGGAGTCTATTCATCAGGGTAAAGCAACAATCCCTTGATCACATCGAAGACATAGACTTTTTGCAAATTATGCCCTCTTTTTCCTCAAGATACTTTCCTAAGTGTGCTATTCGACACAGCAGTGTGTAAATCACAGCACTGGGTTAAATTGATTGGGTTAGGTTGGTGAGGTTAATTAAAAAATAATAATATAGATGCATGTTATTTGCATAAAAATTGCATTCGTAGGCACTGCACAAATAGGGTGGGTAAAATAACACGAAGACACAAGGTTAGCTCTTCAGACCCCCACCCCATCCCTAGAGTGAAGCAGATCTTTTCCCTTGGTCAAGGTTAAGTGGAGCTTGCTTTTGAACAACAACAAAAATGTATTTGCAAAGAACAGAGACCTGAAGAAAGGGTTATAGGAGGAGATCAAGGTGACCAGTGGGTGGAGGTAGGCTGGTCTGAGGTTGTGAATGAACTGGTATTCTCGCTAAGAGGTTTGGCGTGAAGGTTTTTCAAACAAGACTGATGGGTGGGCTTCCCTTTTCTTTCCTTAGGCATCCCTGGGTGTTGAAGCAGCCACCTTTCTGAAACCCAACTGAGCTGTTAGTGCTTTTTTTCCAGGTAAGCGAAGTTGATGCTGACGGGTATTGATTTCTGAGGCCTGGTGTTTGCATGATTTGTTCCTTAATGTTATACAATGTGTTTATGGTATTTTAAGAGTGAAGGTATATTGTGGTTCGACACCTAATATTTCCCAGGCTCAAACATGCTTTACAGAGACGGTTAGAGAATTTTTATGTCATTTCAACTAATTAGTAACACTGATTCTTTCCGTCCTCAACATTATGTGTGAACTATTATTTCCTGGGATTAAGGATGCTTTACAAAGCCAATTAGAGAATATTTTATGTCATTTCTACTAATTAGGTATAACGATTCTTTCCATCCCTACCACACTGTGTCACCTTATAGCGGAGCACCAGACCTAGACATTTGTTTAGCATTTTGTTGAATGGCTACTGCAACATGATTCGACTTAGGAAAAATGACATGGAACAAATAGAATACAAAGCCCTTGTCCTTGGGGACTCCGGCTTCTGTAAAGAAGTCGAGCGTGACTCAGCGTCCTTTCCTGCATGTCAGGTCAGCACCATCACTTCTCCTTGGATTTGAGTCCAGAGCGTGACGCTTTCCATTCATTACAAAAGGAGGTTTTTGTGAGCCATGAATAAAGAGCAGCTGCTGAGTCGGTGGAGAGGTAGGCTGACCGGACCTAAGAACGGGACACAAAGTCTTTCCCCACGGGCTGTGCTCTGCATCGCCTAGAAGCTTGCATTGTTGGTGGTGCAATGATGCACACGCGCACACGCACACAGATGAATTAGTGGGAGTGGGAAGATGCGTAGGTGGGAACAGTATGCGTAAAGAGGAGGGGGGACGTTCTCAGTCTGTGTGACAGACACCAGGTACTCCAGTCGACCTGGAACCAAGGTTGAGAGAAATATAGATCTAATCCACTGGAGAAGACTTACTTAGTCTTTAAGGTTACAGGTGAGCCTTTAGCTTATATTGGTTCTTAAAAGAAGCAGACTGTGTATTTTTAAAAACAACCCCTGGCAATCTGAGGTTGTACACAGCCTCCAAACCAGAAAATCCACTGCCAGCAGCTAGGTTCCAGCTCATAGCAACCTTCCTTTGAATTTCTGAGGTTGAAGTTGTGCATGGTTTTATTTACTTGCTTACACAATTAGCGCCCTCGGTACTATCAGTTAGGAGATTAGGAAATGAATTACATCGAGAAAGTCTGATGTCAGAGACCTTTCCAAAGTACTAAAGAGCAATGGTGTCAGTGTAAGGACTAAAGTGTGACTGAGTCAAGGTATGGAGTTTTCTCTCACTTGCTAAGCATCTGAGAGATAGATTGCCAAAAGAAAAGAAGTCTTGGACAAAGTGCAAGCAGAGTAGAGTGCTCCTTGGAGGCAAGAACGGTGAGGTTTCATCTCACATAAGGTGGGCATGTTGTCAGGAGAGGCTTTTCCTTGGAAAGTGATGTCATGCTTGGAAAGGTGTAGGTCATCAAAAGAGAGGAAGACCCTCAAAGAGACAGACTGACACAGTAACTGCAGCATTGGGCTCAAGTGTGTCAGAGATAGGAGGATGGCACAGGCTAGGACGGGTTTCACATGTGTCATGTATAGTGTCGCTATGAGTTGGACTTGACTCAACAGCAACTAACGATAGCAATGATCTTGATGGGAGGAGACTATGCATCTTTTTCTCTCTGAGCATCTGGTGGATTAGAAATACTGACCTTTCAGCTACCAGCCTGATGCGTTATTCAGTATGCCACCAGGGCGCAAGCCTCTCCCCTAGAACTACTCAGTTTATCTCTCCTGGCATTGAACACAGGAAAGGATGTTTTCATGAGTTCCCCCAGAGCCACCAGAGCTCAGGTCTGCTGCAAGCCACTGGTGGTCACAGTGATTGGACCTGACAATACCTTTGCTTGCTTTCAGGGGAGAGACAGGGAGGGAGGCAAGGGAGACTAATACTCACACAGAGCATAGCCTTGTAATCAGCAGCAGAAGCGTCACCCAGGAGCTGAGCCGGTGCCATCATGTCAAGTTTGACTCCGAGCACTGTCGTGTGATGGAGTAAAACTGTTCATCGAGTGTGTATTTCCTGTCTGGCTTTTTCTCATTCAGGCACTGGCCAAGTTTGAGCCATCTCGTTGACAGCCTCGTCCTTAACCACTGAGCTGTTAGGCCTTCTGGGGTCTTGTTAAATAGGAAGAGTCTCAGGCCTCATCCCAGACCCATGGATAATTTGTACGTTACAAAGGTTCCCGTGGACATTGTAGCCTGAGGACACTTGTGTACACTGAGGTATGAGATGGGCTGGGATGAAGTTCAGGCACGAAATGAGACTCACTATCTC